CGCCATTGCCCACAAAGTCCGAGTGGAAAAAAATAATGAACTTTGAATAAAAGAAGAAAAAAAAGGGCCGTCATTTCTGTGTTGTTTACCTTCCCTGCCTGCCATCTGGTGGTTGAAAGTACTTACGATGCAGTGGTTATTTAAAGGGGCTTTGGGTTTGTTTTGCGTCGATGGCCGAACGGGAGAAGAAACGCAGGATCCGATGGTCAAACGATCAAAATTACATGGGAGTAAAGATGTCGTTTTACAGTCTGTTGTAATTCTGTCTCCCGCCATTTCTCAATTTGCCTATGGTCTATGTCTATTATTGATTTATTATTATTAACATATATATTTTTCCAGGAACTACCAATTTCATTCAGTATTCTGCAGCTGACAGCGTGTTTTGGAATCCCTTCAAAGAGTAACAGATTGTGGCGGCAGACGGTTGCAAAAAATGTCGGGCGGAGAACTATGATATTGATGATAATGATTGTACAAATGGTGATGATAATGATTATGATAATGATACTAATGATGCTGAAGATGGTAGTATGGATGTTACTAAAGATGATGATGATGATGGTGATAATGTCAATGTCGATGTCAATGTTAATGATAATGTTAATGATTATGATAATGATAATGATAATGATAATGTTAATGTCAATGTTAATGATTAATGATAATGATAATGATGATACTACTACTACTACTACTACTACTACTACTACTACTACTACTACTACTACTACTACTACTACTACTACTACTACTACTACTACTACTACTACTACTATTACTACTAACGACAATGACGATGATAATAAAGGAAGAGAGAAGGAGACAATAAGAGCAGACTGCCGCGGTGAACGGCGATTGAGAGAACAAAAGACGAGATGAAGCGAAACAAAGGAAGAAAGGGTCGTCATTATGATTTTTTCCCTCTCTCCTTTTTCATCTTTTTTCTTAGCTATTAGTGGAAAGAACATTTTGAAATGACTCGTTGCACTGGAGTGGGTGGAGCAGAGTTGTCTTTTTCCTTTAATGTGGAGCGAAAATGTATTTTTTTTTTTTTAAGGGGGCATGTTTTTTCCTATTTTGTGGAGGGAAAATGTGGTTCGTTTCCCCCCCCCTTTTTTATAGGGGATGTGGTTCGTTTTTTTTCATTCTTTTTAGAAGGAAAATGTTTGTTTCGTTTTTTTTCCTTTTTTTCGTGGAAGGTATATGTAGTTCCGTTTTTTTTTTTTAGAGGGAAAATGTGGTTTCGTTTTTTTTTGTGGAGGGAAAATGTAGTTTTTTTTTCCTTGGGGGGGGGGGTTCCGTTTTTTCATGCGACTTTAATTTCTGGATTCTGTGATATATGGTGTCCTGATGTTGCGTTTGGGTTTTGCATTTGGATTCCGTGATGGGGAAAGGCTTGTGAAATTAGAATTAAAATCCTGGCAGGTTTGGCTCTTGGGGTGATGATAATGGGGACGAAGGCAGTGGGATGGCAGTGATACGATGACGATGGCAGTTGGTATGACAATGACGATGACGATGACAGTGACGGTGATGACGATGGTGATAGTGACGTTAACGATGAATGACAATGACGATGTGACGTGACAATGACGATGACCGGACGATGAATGACGATGTGACAATGGTGATGAATGAACGTGACGATGAATGACAATGACGATGACGATGACCATGACAATGACGATGACGATGACTGATGACTTGACGACAATGACGGACGATGATGACAATGATGACGATGACGTGACGACGACGAATGACGCCGTGACGATGACGATAGTGATTGATACCTTCAAAAATTATGGATATGAAGCCATTCCCGTAACCCCGTGTCCCTCTCTCCCCAGGTGGCTGCTGCGGCGCCACGTCCAAGAAGACCATCGTCGGAGGATGGGCGTGGGCGTGGTGGTTCGTGACCGACGTGCAGCGCCTCTCCCTCGAGGTAGGTGCTAGGGGGGGGGGGGTAGTTGTGTATGTGTGGGGCGGTCTGAGTG